ACCACAGAGTTTGCCCAAAAACTAGCGTGTCACCCCCGACATCGGCAACATGATGATGTCACTTCTGGGTGACATAAGAACATAAGAGACGCCAATGTTGGATCAGGCCAAAGGCCCATCCAGTCCAACACTCTGTGTCACACAGTGGCCAGAAATACCAGGTGCCATCAGGAGGTCCACCAGTGGGGCCAGGACATTAGAAGCCCTCCCACTGTTGGCCCCCCCAAGCACCAAGAAGACAGAGCATCACTTGCCCCAGAGTCCCTATCTATACCTTGTGGCTAATAGCCACTGATGGACCTCTGCTCCATATGCTTATCTAATTCCCTTTTGAAGCCGTCCATGCTTGTAGCCGCCACCACTTCCTGTAGCAGTGAATTCCATGTGTTAACCACTCTTTGGGTGAAGCAGGTACTTCCTTTGATCCGTTCTAACCCGACCGCTCAGCAATTTTTGGGCCAGGGACGTCAAGCACCGATGTCGCTGTTTTGGGGTGGGTTTCCCCCCACCAGCTAGCTGGCCAGCAGCGGAGCAGAGCCCCCCAAAGCAGGGGAACCCCCACTGGGACCTGGGGGCTGGGAACTGTTCTTACAGCAATCCCATACGGCAGCCCTGCATGGCAACCCTGGTATTCCTTGGGGGTCTCCCACCCAAGGACTCACCAGGACTGACCGCACCTCAAAAAAGGTATTAAACCATTGGGAAAGGAGCAGAAAAGGTCAATGGAATGATTAAGGGCACCACTTCCTGTAGCAGTGAATTCCATGTGTTAACCACTCTTTGGGTGAAGCAGGTACTTCCTTTGATCCGTTCTAACCCGACCGCTCAGCAATTTTTGGGCCAGGGACGTCAAGCACCGATGTCGCTGTTTTGGGGTGGGTTTCCCCCCACCAGCTAGCTGGCCAGCAGCGGAGCAGAGCCCCCCAAAGCAGGGGAACCCCCACTGGGACCTGGGGTCTGGGAACCGTTCTTACAGCAATCCTAGACGGCAACCCTGTATTGCAACCGTGGTATTCCTTGGTGGTCTCCCACCCAAGGACTCACCAGGACTGACTGCACCTCAAAAAAGGTACTAAACCATTGGGAAATGAGCAGAAAAGGTCAATTGAATGATTAAGGAGACGGAACACCTTCCCTATGAAGAAAGGGGAAAGAGGTTAGGGCGCCTTCACTCGGAGAAACGGCAATTAAGGGGCGACGTGACGGAGGTCTGCGAAATTATGCACGGGAGAGAGAAGGCAGAGAAAGAAGCATTTCCCTCCTTTTCTTGGAGTACAAGAACTCGCGAGTCCTCCGTGAAATGGATGATCAGTAAGCTTAGAACAGAGAAAAGGAAGTCCTTCTTCACCCAAACAGTCATTAGCACGTAGGCTTCACTGCCAAAGGAAGTGGTGGCAGCAGCTACAAGCATAGAATGCTTCAAGAGGGGATTGGAGAATCATACGGAGCAGAGGTCCATCAGGGGCTATTAGCCACAAGGTCCAGATGGAACACTCTGCCTGGGGCAGTGATGCTCTGTCTTCTTGGTGCTCGGGGGGGGCACAGTGGGAGGACTTCTGGAGTTCTGGCCCCACTGGTGGACCTCCTGATGGCCCCTGGCTTTTGGCCACTGTGGGACACAGAGTGTTGGACTAGATGGGCCACTGGCCTGATCCAACATGGCTTCTCTTATGTTCTGATGTCTGAGGCAGTGATGCTCTGTATTCTTGGTGCGACACAGAGTGTTGGACTGGATGGGCCATTGGCTTCTCTTATGTTCTGATATCTGAGGCAGTGATGCTCTGTATTCTTGGTGCTCGGAGGGGGGCAGTGGGAGGGCTTCTGGAGTTCTGGCCCCACTGGTGGGCCTTGGGGGCGGGGCTTCCCCCACCAGCCAGCTTGCTGGCAACGGCTTGGAGCCCCCAGAAGCGGGGGGTGGACCCCACCTGGACCTGGTGGCTGGCAAGTCCACTTAGCTTGCAAAGATCTGACAATATAGGGCTAGACTGGGCCGTTCAAATCAGGATACAAAAGGCATGCACACATGTTATTTAAAAAGATAATTTTGAATATCTCATCTCTTTTGCTTGGACCTCTTTTCAGTTTCCTTTCTTCGTATGCACTGATTGCGACCTTATTTCTGCTCTTGTATTCTGTTTACCGTCACCCCGTTTCTCCCTTTTAAAAGCTGCACATTCTCCAGTGTGGTTTGGTATGGATAAAACCAGCAACATGTACACAGATCATGCCTAAGAATGATCTACACCGTGTACTTGAGGGATTAAAAACGGAAAACCTGCAGACAGACTAGAAACAAATCTACAAAGAGGAAGGGCTGGAAGACAGGGAACAGAAACTGCTGACGGCCCATTGAATATAAAAAGAAATGAAATAGAAAACATTTGCTCATCCTTTAAAAAAAAAAAAGTAGAAAAAATGGAGGCGAAATGAGCGTGACAACATTCTGTAATTGAGCGAATGGGGAAAGCGATGGGAATTTGGACAAAATTGTAAATGGTAAAAAGGTAAAGGTTCCCTTGCTCGAAAGCCAGTCGAATCCAACTCTAGGGATGCGGTGCTCATCTCCGTTTCCAAGCCGAAGAGCCAGCGCTGTCCGAAGACGTTTCCGTGGTCATGTGGCCAGCATGACTAAACACCGAGGCCGCCGGAACTCTGTTCCCTTCCCGCCGAAGTGGTCCCTATTTATCTACTTGCAATTTCTTGCTTTCGAACTGCTAGGTTGGCAGGAGCTGGAACTAGAGACGGGAGCTCACGCCGTCATGCGGCACAGTCGGGTCTTGAACCGCTGAACTACCGACCTTCCACAGCCTGCAGTTCAGCGTCTTAACCACTTGAGCCACCACAGCTCCTTTCTGTAATTGAGTAAAAGGGGGAAAGCGATGGGAATTTCGACAAAATTGTAAGTGGAGAAAGGGGAAAAAAACACACACCAACAAAGCAAGTCCTAAATCTGTCCCGGAAAAACGACGTCATTACACACTATCTAGTCTTCACTGCCTCCTAGTGGTGCAGCGGCAATTTGAATTTTATTTCCAAGACCTAGTTTGACTTTCCTGAAGGGCTTTTCAACTCACATGCCATTTAGGGTTGCCAGCTCCAGGTTATGAAATTCCAGGAGATTTGGGGGTGGAGCCTGGGGAGGGGGCGGACTTCAACATGGTCTAGTAGCCCGAGCTCCACCCCCAAATCTCCAGGAATTTCCCAAGCCAGAATGGACATACAGGGTTACCAGCTCCGGAATGGGAAATACCTGGAGATTTTGGAAGTGGAGCCTGAGCAGAGCGGGGTTTGGTGTGGCGAGGGACTTCACTCGGCTAGAATACCATAGAATGTACCTTCCGAAGCAGCCATTGGCTCTAGGCGAACTGATCTCTGTCGCTTGGAGATAAGTTGCAGTCCCAGGAGATCTCCAGTCACCCCCTGGAGGTTGACAACCCTAGCTGGCAACCCTAGTGCTGGGGGAATTATGACACACACACCCCCGAGGAAGACAGAATACGTTTCTTCTTCTTGCCAGTTTGGTGTAGTGGCTAAGAGCGCGGACTCTAATCTGGAAGAACCAGGTTTGATTCCCCACTCCTCCACATGCAGATGCTGCTGTGACCTTGGGTCAGCCACAAGTTCTCTCAGAGCTGTTCTCGAGAGAGCTCTCTCAGCCCCACCGACCTCACAGGGTCCCTGTTGTTGGGAGGGGAAGGGAAAGGAGATTGTAAGCCGCTCTGAGACTCCAAATGAAGGGCAGGGTATAAATCCAACCTCCTCCTCCTTTGTTCCTATACATGTGTGCAGTAAATTGAGAGCTTTAAGCTGACTTGGAACAACCTCTTGTTCAGCCAGATATTCCAGTGCAATAGACCATTTCCCAGCAAAATTAAAGCGTGGAGAGTGTGGGTCATAACTTCGTATTTGAGCTGATATTTCTTTCCCCCCATCACAAAGTGTTCCCAGATTTTACAATGCCGTCTTGCCAGCATTGGAGCTGACTTATTTTTTTCCAATTGAGTGCATGAGCCGTTTTCGCTGCCACCAGTAAAGGGAAGATTAGATCTTTTCTGGTTTTAGGAACTGTAGGTTCGGGCCAGTCATTCAAGAACAGGACTTCAGGTGTAAAAAGAAACACACAGCAAACTGAGGCTGAACCAGAGGTCATTTCGGGGGGGATCGTGGGGGAACGCAGTTCCCCCGGGCGAGGTGCAGGGGGGCGGGGCACATGGCGAAGCCCCGCCCCCTGCTTCTGGCCACCCCGCTTCCAGCCCTCATTCAGCCAGGAGGAGGCAGGAGAAGAGGGAGGGTAAGTTGCTTCCTCCCCGCCTCTCCCCACCCCTGCCTGCCTGGGGCCAGGGAGGGCCTTGGCGGGGCTTCCTCGCACTCCCGCCAGCCTTGCAGGTCCACCGCCGGGCCCCTGATGTCAGGGGGTGTGGCATATGCTAATGAGTTATGCTAATGAGTCCCCCTAGCTCTTTTTCTACGAATTGACCCCTGGGCTGAACGAATTCAACTCAGTTCTAATTCTGCTTCCAAGTGAAAGCTGGAGATTCATCCTGGACCAATCAGAATGAACATCAATGCAGAGGTGGAGCTTTTGGGGGGTGGAGCCTGAGGGGGGCGGTGTTTGGGGAGGGACCGCAGCAGGGTACAGTGCCTTAGAGTCTGCCTTCCAAAGCAGCCATTGTCTCCAGGAGAACTGATCTCTGTAGTCTAGAGGTGGGCTGTAATTCCAGGGGATCCCCAGGTCCCGCCTGGAGGCTGGCATCCCTAGACTGCAAGTTCCCTCGATATCCCCCCTCCCACTTTCTGTTCTAGTGGTTTTGTATACTCTGGCAATGACCCCACAAAATGGGAACACACACACACACCTGGCTGACCCCGACCAATGCCCTGCATTAATGAATGACAAGAGACGTGGGCGGAAAAGACCGCGTACCTTGGCGGTCCCGCCGCTCACAGCCAGCCACTGCCTCCGTCAAAGCAAGTTCTCAAGAACTTTCCTTCAAGCCACCATGAAGCCTTTTGCCATCTTGCTGGCCTTGTCCCTCCTTGCAGGTGAGTAGAAGGTCTACTACATCAATCCGGAGGAAAACTTTGAAGATTCTTTCACGGCCAAGTCGAGTTCCCTTGCTGGTTTCACTAACCCCTTAGGGTGCTGAGAAAATTATTCCGAAGAGCAAAGGGAGGTGTTCAGAAAGCTGAAACCGCCCAGTTAGTCCTTGGCAAGAGCGGGCCGCCATACAAAGAATTTCTCTCTTGCCTAAACTTCCCTCCCCACCAAACCTTCTGCTGACTCATCCAAGGGTGAAGCGTAAAATAAAATAGTCCTAGAATGTCAACAGATCTCCAGGTGACCATGGGCTGCCTCCAGATGCCCGTGGTGTGATCGCGCCGGCACGCGGCATTCCCCTCCAGTCCCTTGTTTACCCGCCAGCACCAAGGGAAGGACCCATGGTATGCCGCTGGTGTGTCTGATTGCGTAATCGTGCATCAAACTGTGCTGGGGCAATTAGCCACGCCTCCCCCCCACGATATCAGGCCCATGTGACCGGAGCCCTAGAATGTCAACAGATCTTGAGGTGCCTGTAATCAGGGGAGACCAGGCCACCCTATGACAGAAATCAGTTCCCCTGCAGAAAATGGCTACCTGGGAGGGTGGAGTCTATGGCATTTTGCCTTACTCAACTCTCTCCTCAAACTCTCACCTCCACAAGCTCTGCCCCCAAATCTCCAGGAATTTCCCAACCTGGAGTTGGCAGCTCTCTCATCAGAGCACTGACAGGGTTCCTCAGGCAACCGAAACGTCATCATGTTATAATTTTCCCATAGGAGCATTGGATTGGCTGCTTCGGAAGGTGGACTGTATGGCATTCTACCCCAAAAAAGGAGGAGGAGGAGGAGATTGGATTTATACCCCACCCTTCACTACCCAAAGGAGTCTCAGAGCGGCTGACAATCTCCTTCCCCTCCCCCTCTCCACAACAGACACCCAATGTTCCCTCTAAGCCGTGGAGTCGTGTGAGCTCACACTAACTCAGCTTAGAGGGAACACCGCCTGTAAGGCCGGTGGGGCCGAGAGAGCTCTCTCGAAAACTGCCCTTGAGAGAACAGCTCTGAAAGAACTGATGACTGACCCAAGGTCACACCAGCAGCTGCATGTGGAGGAGTGGGGGATCAAACCCAGTTCTCCCAGATTAGAGTCCGCTCTCCTAACCACTACACCAAACTGGCTCTCCCTGAAGTCCCTCCCCACACCAAGCCCACCTTCCTCAGGCTCCACCCCTAAAATTTCCAGGTATCTTCCAACCTGGAGCTGGCAACCCTACCTAGAATCTATGGTCCATTCCTGATCAATCCAGCTCTGTCTGGTTTTGTCACCTGCCGGGTTCAAAGCATTCAAACCTGAGTTTACAAGAGCAAGGTTCGATCTGCAAAAACACTGTTTGTAGATTGACGGTCAAGGCCTGCGTCGGATTGATCTCTCTGCCTCCACTGGTGGAAAAAAAATATATTGTGACGTCTTTGGGCAGTCACCTCAATAACCTCATTTGCCCCCGCAGTTCAGGTTCACGTTTCAGTTTATTGCCTTTAGCCATAGGAAAAGGTTCCCTTGCTCAAAAGCCAGTCGAGTCTGACTCTAGGGTTGCGGTGCTCATCTCCGTTTCCAAGCCGAAGAGCCAGCGCTGTCCAAAGACGTTTCCGTGGTCATGTGGCCGGCATGACTAAACACCAAGGCGCACGGAGCGCTGTTACCTTCCCACCGAAGTGGTACCTATTTATCTACTTGCCATTTCTTGCTTTCGAACTGCTAGGCTGGCAGGAGCTGGAACTAGAGACGGGAGCTCACTCCATCATGCAGCCCCCGGGTCTCGAACTGCTGAACGACCGACCTTCCACAGCCTGCAGTTCAGCGTCTTAACCACTTGAGCCACCGCAGCTCCTATTTAGCCTTTAGCCATAGGCCGTTACAATGACAGAACATCCCCCTCAGTTTGGATTTAGCATTAGGAACGCCTCAAGCAAAGGCTGACTGGCCAGGGGCAGTAACATGCAACTGGAACCATAAGCAGCGTCTTTGGACAGGTAGGAACCTTATAAGTGTGACACTCATGAGGTGCCAGCAGGAACACACACGAAGCTGACTAATACTGAATCAGACCCTTGGTCCATCGGGGTCAGTATTCTAAGACAGAAACTCCGTCACGGGTTGTGCTTCCCCAGCCCAATTTGAGAAAGCACTAGGCACGGTGCTGTGGAGGAGAATCCAGGCTAAAACTTTATTAATAAAGGAGGGGAAATACAGGCATAACAAGGTTTTGAATCCTCGAATACCCCCAGCTCTTCCCCAAGGTTACAGTGGGAGACATAAACTTTTATACCCTCTATGACAGTTAGAAATAAATCATAATTATTGGCTCCATCAAACTTTGTCATATATCCGTCACACCATTCTGATTGGGCTCCAACCTGTGGGTTGGATTTTCTCAGGCAAAAATATACCTCCTTCAGTTGAAATATACCTCCTTCTTCCCAGGCTATGAAATTCTAAAAGGATCTAATGCAGCAGATATGGGTACATAGTGGTGTGTGTTCTTCATCTAACGTAGGCTAAATGACATCAGGAATATGCACAGTTATAGTTGGCAAGAACAAGCAAGGTCACAAGCAGCATGCTTGCCTGTCAGCATTTAGTATTTTACCCAGAATGCATTTAAGCAATGAACCAAAGTGAATATCTGATCATGATTGATTTCAGTTACTGTGATTAGAATCATCAAAGGCACTTAACATATGCACCATGGAAGTGTTAAGTGCACCTACTAAGTTAGACTGACTGGTAGTCAGTGGCAGAGTACAAAGTGTTTCATAAGCGGTGCGTACAACCAGGGCTATTTTTGAGCAGGAACGCACAGGAACGGAGTTCCAGCTGGCTCCCGAGTCGGCCACACCCAGCAGGAACGCATTAGCATAATAGGCCACACCCAACAGCAGACACTCATTAGGATTGGCTACATTAGGGGTGTGTGGCCTAACATGCAAAGGAGTTCCTGCTACAAAAAAAAGGCCTGGGTCTTGACAACAAACAAGGTAAACAGAATAAGAAGCAAAAGGTGGGTGTGGCTGGATGACCACACTTCTGGTAACATGGGGGTGTGGCCTAATATGCCAATGAGCTGTGCTGTCAGGGGTGTGGCTTGCTTGCGGGGAGGGCGGGGTAAATGTGGAATAAATAAATAAATAAATTTCTGCTGTTGGGTGTGGCCTATTATGCTAATGAGTTCCTGCTAGGCTTTTTCTACAAAAAAAGCCCTGCGTACAACAGTATTGTCTACTCAGACTGGGAGGTAGGGTTGCCAGGTCTGGGTTGGGAAATACCTGGAGGCTTTGGGGGTCGATCCGGGAAAGG